CCATCGAGCCTGATGCGCCCTTCATCATGTCCCTTCTGGGCCGCAAGAGGACGAGATTAACGCAGCGCCTGGGTTTGGGGAACAGATATGTTGACGTTGCTTCATTTGGGGTGATGTTGATGTCAGTTCCTGGGTCAATCCCAAACGCTGATTTTTATCCGGCTTATGAATACTAAGCAATTCAGTCAAGTGAGTCCAACCATGTCAGACACCCAGATGTGTGCAGTGTCGAAGGTCTATTCAATTCATGCTCGTTCAACCGTTCCACTTACCACCCAAGAATCTTCCGCCCTCAACCAATGCCCTCACCAACACCTCCCAACCTCCCAACCTCAACCTTCCAACCTCACCTGACCACTTCCACATGCCTACACCCACTAATAAACAAGTATAAACAATGGTTGCTTATTTAAAACAAGAACACACACTCACACAAATGACTCCCAAAAGGCTTTTCTTTGTTCTTCCATGTTAAAAGTGTTTTTTTGATTTTCCAGGATGCCTTCGAAGTGGCTGCGGCCGATGGCCTGGCTCCTGCCGGGCTTTGACCCGTTGCCTCGCTGGTGGCCTGCCCTGGGGGGTGGCCAGGCGAGCAGAGAGTGGATGCCATTGGGCATCGGTTCTCTTGGGGAAAAGTGGTTTAGGCCCGAACAAACCATCAGGGGGAACAGGATGGGAGAGGGAATCTGGCAGATTCAGACAGAGTCTGGCCCTGCGAAAGAACCGCAGAGTCTAGAGATCCTAACAGATCTCACGCTCCGAATGAACTACCTCATTCGTCCCCGACCTGCACCTGAGAGTCCACCGCTCGTGCCTTCCGACCCGTTCAGGATGGTGGCAGTGAGGGTCCCTGCGATCTGCAGATGACCTCGTTGCGGGCATTGGTCGTTTTAAGGTCGGAGGGGACGACATCGACTGACCGGCTAACAGTGATGCGTCGTCCACCGGGCGTTAGTATATGCGGTGGGGCGCTCCAGTGATGGGTCGTCATCGTATGCTTGTCGAGAGAAATGGACACAACTGGAAGAGTTCAGAATTGTTCCACTTAAGACAGGCATATTTCAGTATATGATGTTTGCTTCTTGGTGGCTTGCTTTGTTTATACTATTTAAACACTATATGAACCACCCGTGACTGAGGGTTGCTGAGGGTTGCTGAGGGATGCTGAGGGATGCTGGATCTGATTCAGCTTTGAAGTGACCGCTCCGCTCCGCAGCAGGTTCGCTGAAGCCAAGGAGGATTTCTTGCCCTGGGTGGGCACCTGCCAGTCCTCGGACGAAGACGAGGACCGGACATGCGGGGAAGGAACGGCGGGACGAGCTGCGAGGGAGCAACCGGGCAGCCAGGGAGCGACCGGGTGGAGTTCTTTTCAATGTGGGTGAGATCTCAATCTCAATGATGACTGATTGAATTTGAAGATCTTAAGAACATGAGAGATCATGAACTCCGAAACTAGCGTTGAGGGTGCTGAGGTCATTTGGGATGTGTTGATATTCTTTGGTAGCACTTCCGTTACCTAGAGCCTGACTGACCTCTGTTTTGAAAGGAAAAGACCATATTTTGGAATATTTTGGATAGTTGATCCTCCAAAACAGGGGTCAAAAAAAAGGCTCCAGGTAAAAGCTTGGGGCGTTGGGGGGACATTGTTTTTCTCCACTGCCGGTGACGACCCAAAGATCCTTACGACCGCTGGGCCGTAGGAGGAACCGCATTTAGTTGGAGTATGAGCGAATGGCCTGGAACCCCTTAAGCTTGGTTTGGTTTGGTGTTGTTCATCTAGCTGTGGCAGGTCCAAGAAAACCCAAGGGGGTGTTGCATAATATGTTGTATACCCAAACACTCCATGTATGCCATACTATATGCATACATTGACCCCCCCTAACCACCCCAGCTGATTGGCATATATGGCAGTCCCAGACAACTCTGGTCTGGGATATATAGGTTTTGAACTAAGCAAGTTTGGTCGAAAAAGGCAGCGTTTGGTCCAGGTGGAACCACTTCCTGGAAGGTCCACAGTCCCCAGTTCTTCCCTCCAGACTCGCTGGCACCGAGGACTCGAGCCACGAGCGACTTGGCGTGCCTGTCTTCGGGTGCCTGTCGCGGAGCGGCGGAGCGGTCGCCACTCACCGAGGTGATTTTCAGTGACCGTAAAGAGGACCCGTCATGTAGAGTCTTCCAGGAGTCACAAAGGGGTGGTGTTTAGTCCCTAAGTGAGTGGATAATGGGCACCCTTAACCTCCATTAAGCACCCCTTTGTGACTGCTGGTTGATGGATCTTGATTGTATTTCACCCCCGCCAGCCCTGAAGAGGATCGCCACTTGAAAATTGTGGGTTTGTTCATCAAGAGTCTACATGAACCTGGGGTACCCAACTGGGATAGTCGAACCCTCGGGTTCTGAAAAAACCTTTGTTGGTGAGGAACAGGATACTGGGGGTCTCCAGTCTCCAGGGTCTTCTCCATGAAACAACAGGGAGCCAGTGGAACCCGCGCAACCAGGGACCGCAGCTGTCGGCTGTTCCCCCAGCCCGGTGGTCCATGAAGCCACCGACGTCCATCACTGACTGGTCCTTTGTTAACGCTCCCACACTCCATGGTATCATCAAAAATCATCATATTCACTATATGGAACAACTATAGCTACCTACATTGACCCTTAAAGCATCGCAAATCCATCCCAATGTACTATAGGTAAATATGCCAGTCACTCCCATGAAATGTCAGGGTATGTGACATGGATGGGCTCGAAGTAAGACTCACTTGGAAACATGGAAGTGGATGGCAGGGGGTTGGCAGTCTTCCCCCTGAAAACTGTTTATGTTCACTTCCATGTTGGTGAATCGGTGGGTGTTATTCCAAATCCGAAGGCCGTAGAAGACCCTAAAAGAGCCTCCGGAATCCGGAAAGAGGAAAAAGAGCAGTCTACCGGTCTACCCATTGGGGCGATCGGGGGTCCCCCATGATCCTCGAACTGAAGTCATTACACTACCACCTCGACAACAACCAGACCTGTATCCTACCAGACCTGTGAGTGGATCATGGGCACCCCTATCCTGCAAGTTCCGCACGCAAAGTCTAGCCCCTTGAGGCTTTGGAACTGCTGGTATGTGTTCCAGATTTCGTGGCAGGTGCAGCACTTGGCGAACCTGTTTCCATGCCCACAGCAAGAAACCTCCCAAGATGAACCAAGCTGGCTGGCCTTGTCGAATTTGGGCGTAAGAAAGTTAAACCGGCATTATGGGTTTAATCATATGTCCCATATACATATATATATATATACACATATATACCTATATATACATGTGTGTTCACATCCTATATAAGTACTTTCTCTCACCTCCGAAACCGACCATCCCAAATTCACAATTCCTAATACATCCCTATGGGTACGTCTTTTGGCGAGCTCGCCTGGCGCCCCACCTTTCGCTCCGCACAGTGGTCACCATGTGGTCACCATCAGGCCATCCACCTCGCCAAGCGAGCCGCGCGATGAGCTCTGAGACAAAATGACACGTGCGACGGGGGGTGGATGTTAGTCGGGATAGAGAGAGCCAAGATTCCTTAACACTCCATGGCATATGTATGAACGAGTGGTTAATTGCTATATATTTACTTGTTTTAAGTGTTTATATGATTGTATATGTTTTTTTAAAGAGTGGTTTACTTGTTTATATCGTTTGTAATATCTATAGTCTATTCATTATCTATCTGTATGTTTTTCAGTCTCAATGGCAGATATTCCAGGTGTTGTGGAGTGAGTTTGTAGTGCTTGGGTAACTCCCCCCTTTTTTAGACGCCTCCCGGGCTCACGACAAGCACCGAGAGTTGTGGAGTCATTGATCCGAGCGATTCAGAGCGATGAACGGAACATCTACAGGAAACCCATGGTTTGACGGGTCAGAGGAACTGTGGTTTCCGATTGAGAAACAGAGTGAACGAATCCATTGATCCACTCCCGTGGATTCCCTCTGACAACCCAATCAAGTGAAGACGAGTTTCTGGGCGATGACTTTGGTGAAGCCCGAGCTTCCACGCAAAAGATTGCATCGCGGCCAGGTGGCTTTTGCCATGGAAAAGGGTGGTGTCTTAGACATGCCCCTGGTGCGCCGGAGGGCGATTCGCGGGAAGAGGGTGGCTGTATTCAGATCCTGGTGGGTTCATATTCAAAAACCACTGCAGGATAATCCTGCATTCTTCTTCAGTGTGGGACACCACAGTTCACTGAACCTTTGCATATCTTAGCATCGTCAGAACCACGCATCGTCATGTTTGTTGAAGGATCATCGGACCCGCTCGGGCACTCGTAAACCACAGTGGTTCGGCTATTCGGTCGGCAATGCGATTCGGTCCAAAGGAGAAACGGAGAGTACGGAGAGTAGGTATAACCACAGATAAGCAAGAGAGTAGGCTGGTTGGTCTAGCGGAAACACATCTAAAGATGAATCATGATGAATCCACAAGTCATGAGTCTTGGAACACACATTGGGGGCAAGGGCTGTTGCTTCGATGGATGTTCAAGTGTGCTCAGCATGTCTGACCAAGGGAAATGTTTCTTACTTGTGTTACTTGCTTCCATCTGATAAGTTGCTGCATTCACCAGATACTCTGAAGTAAGAACAGATCCTTGCAAGAGACCCCAGAAATCACCAGAGTATCCTGAGAATCTCAGTAAGTTGAACCCCCCAGTCATCCCAAGTCAACCAGGAGCCCGCCCGGTGGCGACCCCTTGGCCCCAATTGGCCAATCCGTGGGTCGATCTGAAAGGGTCCCCATTTGGTGACCGTCGCAGGTCACGGAAGCCTGGGAAGCTGGTTCTTGGTTGGTGCGGAGATCCATGTTGATTTTCCCTATGGGTGAATCTTTTTACTTCTGGGAAAAGAGTCTTCCTTTGATAATGAGTTGCTTGCCGGTTGCTGGAGAAAAGAAAAGAAGCAAATCCCAAAAAGCTGCAAATGCTGCCATGCCGGCATACAGTGCACCGTATGCCACCGTGGACAGGGCATGGGCTCCATCACTGTGGGCCTCGGTTGGGACGTGGACCAGGGCGAAGTGGATCTGGACGTCTCAGCCGTGTGGTGGCCCGTTGTGCCCGGCCGGGCGCAGGCCGAGCACAGAGTAAACGTCGTCAAGGAGTCCGGATGGTGGACGGGGAGCTGGAGTTGAGGTTGTTACTTCAGAAGGTAAGGGTGAGTAGGTCTAGCATGGTCTAGGTATAGGTTGGTGGGTTGGTGGGTTGGTGGGTTGGTGGGTTGGTGGGTGGTTGGGTTGGTTCTTGGGTGGGTGGGTGGGTGGGTGGGTGGGTGGGTGGGTGGTTGGTTGGTTGGTTGGTTGGTTGGTTGGTTGGTTCTTTGCTTCTTTGCTTCTTTGCTTCTTTGCTTCTTTGCTTGGTTACTTCAACATGGCAGTGTTTGACTCTCTTTGACTATTTTGACTCTCCAAGCAGCTCTTCATTGGGCAGCTTGACTTCAAAATGGGGAGTCGGCGATCCTTTTGGATTCAACTGGGTGGTTCATACACCTGGGGGGTGTCGGTAAACAAGAACATCACTATTTTAGAGATGGATGTCGGCCCGCAACTGAACCAACCATCATCATTCATCATCCACTGTTACAGGTCATGGGAGATACCCGCAACATACATCAACCAATCAATGAGAGAAGTACCCCCATGGGTTCATCCAAGAACCACCGGAAACTGATTGAAGTGTTGCTGGAACCCATGGATTCGATGTGTGTGTGTCTCTTTGTTTCCCGTGCATCGCCCCCAACAAGTGAAGGGGGTCTCCAGTCCGTGGATCCCAGACTGAGGGTCCGAATAACATGTTCATGACATTCCCAGACAGGGCCCAATGTAAGCTAAATATGTCAGTCCCATAACTGTGTTTCGGATTATTTAGCTACAAATGTGTTTCGGATGTGTGGATCCCACAACATCCCCCCAACTGCGAGTGGTTGATCTTTCTAAGGTTCTGCTCAATGACCGCGCGGAGGATGTGGAGGACGGAGGATGCGGCGGATGCGGATCACGTTCCACGCCTTTCCCACGAGTAGAGTTCTTTGCGTTATGTGTCATAGTTTTTTGTACCCAAGAGTACCATGGTCTACCCAGGTGCACTCTTAGATGTAATTATATACCCAAGCTTCATGAGATGCGACATCGACATATCTTCCACTCTGCTTCTTTCCTGTATTGACGTCATGAGGCGGGGCGTATACGAAGGTGTGGCCCAGGGCCATTGCCCCCGTGGCCGACCGATCCTCGTTCCACGTCCAGGCCGTGTTCTTTGGACACTTGGAGTCCATCCAGAATGGCATTGTCCACAGTGGTGACAATCTGACAGGCCTTCTGTCCGTTGGGGGCGGTTTAGGATTTTGGTTTGGGGGGGGCTTTCTTTTTTCTCGGACATCGTTTCGTTGGAAGAGCGGACCAGCTTGTTTCGTTGAAGATTGTTGTTTTTTGGTCCTTTGAATGAACAGAATACACTCCAGGACCGGCTAATTAGATGGTTTTTAGCGCAGCGTCCTATGTTGAAAGAATATCTTATACCTGCATCTTCTAAAAGACTGTAATTATTGCCTTTTCCTGGAAATCGTTTTTTTTGCGAAAAAGGCAGAAAAAACGCCCTCGGGCGGATCTTCCAAATCAGGTGGTTTCAACGAGGAACCGTAATTTGCAAACTGCAAAGCTCAAACAGGTCTACATGTAAAACAATAGAGAATTTCTTGCGTTTCAAAAAGGCGGAACTTCCCGGCATTCGGGCGGAACTTCCCGGCATTCGGGCGGATTTACCCGAACACCCTGTTTTGCAATATGTTGTAATCATGATTCATGACTTTTTTTGGCACTGATGTTACGATTTACAAATTCTGAATTTCTGCAGCTGCCTTCAGGCAGAAATTTCTGCCTCAGGCGGAAACCTGAGATTCGGGCAGAAAAAGCAGCCTGAAACCATTCGGGCAGAAATAAAAGACTTCGGAACATCTAGGTATGTTATACAAGTTTGGAGGGCCAGGTACTCCTGAGGGAAGTGTTGTCCAGAAAGCAGCGTCTTGGAACATAGCATGCAGATCATCCAGGAGTAGTATTGCTTTTTGGCACCTGCCACGAGCATTGGAGACCCAAATACAGTAGAAGAGTAGAAGAACGCTGCATGCGGGCTGCTTCTGCGCTTTGATTGGGTTGCCACCAGGCGATGGAGATGGAGATGATGAACAAATCCAAGTGGATTTGAATCGCATCCAACCCCACGTGCAACAGGCCTGAGCAGCTCTTGGATGCTCTTGGAACCCTGAGTGGGCTTGGTAACCTTTCAGACATAGATGGTTTACAAGAATGCTGATATCGCACATATACCAGAACCTCCCAGTTCTTTCAGGCCAGGCCATAAGCAACGTTTTTTGTCCAGCAAAGTTGTTGCGCTGGTGAACCGTGCTGTAGGTACACTCAGTGGGTGTTGCCCTGTCTATGTAAGAAGGACCTCTTCCGGGTGCATGGTCTTTCTTCAGGTTCTAGCCAGGCTTGGGTTTCAATGTTGCATTGTTCGGTTGACTGTGACTATTGTCAGGGTCCCTATAACCTCAGAGAATATAGGGCAGGACTGTTCGCAGGAAGAGCTGCGCCAGAACAGGGAGAAGCTACATCTCTTCGATCAGATCAGCTTCCCACCATACAGGCAGCGATTAGCTTCCCATCTAGGAACCAGGCAGCAAAGCCAGTCTGGCCTGTAGTAAGAACAATTGGCGATACCCAGACTGACGCTCCGTTCACAGCCCTTGGTCCTTCATCGTGAATTTGAGACCCCAGACCGGCCAGACTTGGGTCCGATCGCTTTCTTCAAAGAATCGAGTGCCTCAAGAGTACCAGTCTTGGACAAATCATGCCACCTGGATGGAGATTGTTCAAGTCATTCCGCGGCTTAGACAAATTGGATAGGATCTTGGTATTTATTGAAGTCAATGGATATTCCCTTGATCTCTCACTGCGTCCACTTGTTGAAGTCAATGGATATTCCCTTGATCTCTCTCTGCGTCCACTTATTGAAGTCAATGGATATTCCCTTGATCTCTCTCTCTCTCTCTCTCTCTTTGCGTCCATCAGTGAGGACAACAGTTTGTAGGTCAAAATTCAGCGCAAGCATCGGACACGTGACTGCCAGGTCTTCTTTGTGGTGAACATTTATTCAGCCAACCGTTCCTTCCGACAGGTTCGCGCCTCGGTGGAGCTCGGGTGGTGATCACCGGTCGACCGGTGGTTTCCCAGAGCTCCACGGAGACTGGTGGTATTTGATAAGGCCTGTTGTGGGTCTTACAGGAACACCCTCCAACAGAAACCATGTGTTCAATCATCGATGGGAGGGGGTCGAAGACCAAGGGGAGGTGAGTTTCTGGAGTGTGTTACATAGTCAAAATGCCCAGAAGGAAAAAGCACACCTGGCAGTTTCCACGCTGTGTCCGATCCCAGGAGAATCCCGATCGCCCCTGGCAGGTTGGTAGTCTCGTTGGTTTGACGAAGTGGCGAGGTGAGACAGGTGAGACCCCTATTTTTAGTACAATTGCTGAAATTGTGATACAGAGTGTCCAGTCAGTTTGGAGTTCTTCTTTTGCTGTTGTCTGTGATTCTGCATCGTACCGTATTCTTCTGCAAGATGCGGGTCTTAAAGAAAGGGAGGTCTCCCTACTTGCACCACCCGTGCACCCGTCTCATCCAATCGGATGTTCTGCTCACCCGAACGCAGCGCATGACGTTTGACGTCCGTCGTTCGATCTCTGCGTCCATGTCTTCAGTCGTACCTCCTCAGATGGTATGACTGGACCCTACTGGCACCACCCCCAAACACCTTCTTACGTATTCGGAGCCCTAGGGTCTATAATAGGAGCTAGACTCCCCCTAAGTATAGTTCTAAACACTTTTGCCCTGGTGACGACGGGGAAAGCTGCAGCTGGCTTGGTAAATTCAGACGACACAGCGCCTTAGGCGCTGGAAACAGATTGAAATGATTGTGTGCCTTGTTTGACCGGATTCCACCTATTATTCACCCGTGGTCCCTGTTCCTTGCTGAAGATAGACTTCTAACTTCAGCTTCTATAACTACCATATACCTCTCACCTTTCGGTGTGTTGCTGTGGGTGTCAACTGTCAATGATGATAAAAGTCTGAGATGCTGCATGGGATGGTACCAAGATGCCATATCATCTCACTTTTTTGAGCCCATGTACCACCTCCGGTCCTATGCAGATATCTAGAACAGTTCATGCTTACCAAGCAGCTCGCTTCCGCTGGCCAAGCAGTGTAGTGAGACCTCGTAGCAGAATCGAATCGACTGCAGGTGGCTCGACCGTACTGCCGCATCGTGGACAACATGATGGGCAATGAGCTTTGCCACTCGTCGTAAACACCGTAGAAAGTGTGTAAACACTCTCAGGCGCTTATATAACCCAGTTGACCCCAACTGCGCGAAGGAGATGGGGACGGTTGTGAGATGGTCCGCACGTGACTGCACTCGCGACTTGGGGAGGTGGACGTCACTGCACCTGCCTTGGAGGTGGTCCAACAGGTGGACGAGCCTGGTGGATTTGTCAACGGCAGAGTGGAGAGTCAGCTATGACATCTATGAGCCCAAACACTCCATGTTTAATGTTTGCATATTATTTGCCATATTATTTGCCGACGATGAACCGGGTTCAGGGGTCAATGTAGGCATACATGGTGTGTTTGTATAATAGGTGATAATGCTATACATGATCAGAAAAGACATCTTGCCGTGCCGTGCCACTCTTTTTTTTTCCTGGCTGCGTCGAAGCAGGCCCTGCGCTCGGCGGTCAGCGTTTGTCGCACCTCGTTTTCTGCCGAAGCATTCGAGCCTCATGACTTTAAGCTTCTCCTCGGGATGACCCCTGCAGGCATCCAACCGCAATCGGACTTGAATGGCTTTTACATGCTTTTACCGAACAACCATGTTCTTCTACTTTTTTTTTATATAGAGCATTTTCTTGTAGCTGAAGTCTTTTCTCCAGAACTGTGGGAATCGACGAGCCCCCCATTGTATGTGGGGCATGAGTTTTGACAAGGAGTTTTGACAGTCGCACAATTGAAAAAACATGGTGCACCCAATCCGAGTGTGGGGATCTATGGCACGTACAGTCGATGGAAACAATTTTTGTCGACTTCGCCAGGGACCCGTGTGTTTCAGGTTGAACTTGTGTCAATATGAATCATTTGGCCCCTATGTGAACTGTGTGCCCCACCTCAGAAAAACATGTGTGATTTTGTCTCTCTCAAAAGCCCCTACTTCGACACCCCGTTCGCCCACAGGGTCGTGCAACATGTGAAAAACTGCCCAAAAACCTCGCCCACGTGATAGCCACCCGGGACCTCGCCCGGGCGAAAGCGAGGCCGCTACAGTTTGTCGGACGCGGGAAATGACAATGGCCGGGGAGCTGAACGCAGACGTCGGGCGTCGTGGGCTGCGAACGTAGTAAGTCTCGATCGTTGTGGCACGAAAACGGGGAATAACTCCTCTCATCGAATTTGCCAAGGATCATCATTGTTGCTGCTTCACCTTTACAAAGCTTGCTGATTTGCTGTTTGAGTACTTCGATCAAGCTGAAAATGGAATGAAAGCTGGCTGGTACCATGTTGCATGCTGCATCAGAGGGGCATGGAGTGCTGAGCTGCACTCCATCATCTTGCGCAGTGCGGAAGAGTACTGTTTGCATGCAATTGGTTTTGTGACCATTTACTTCGTAAGTTGTCTTACAATTCTACTTGTTAATTATCAATATCTATAACCATTTATCGCTTCCCACTGGCCCACCGGTTGCTGCCTTATCTACATCTACTATACCGACTACACCGCTTTTACATCCGTATACTTTTCATCATCATCTGATCCAAAAGCCTGCCCAACTATAGTTGACCTTCTTGAATCCAAAACATGCAATCAACATCCTCAACTACCCGGTCAGTGGTCAGTGCATACAACCTTTCCAGGATTGGTTACCCTCAAATCCAGGGTCCAAAAGTCCGGTTCACCGGACACCGGTCTGTCCGTTTTCGGACCGTCCGCGATCCTTCGAGCCCTTGGGGGGGTTCACCATCTACTCACCGTCCGGTTCACGGTATACGACCCAGGCCCCCAAGGCCTCCCAGGCCCTCCCAGGCCCTACCAGGCCTCAGGCCCCAGGCCTTCTCAATCCAGGCCTCATCATTGCAAAGATGGCCCGCGAGACCGGCGGACGCCCGGAGCGCCCAGCGGGCGAGACGCGCGGAGCTTTGAAACCGGGTACGCTCCGGCACCAGGTCAACCGTTTGATGTGTGTGGTGTGTATTTGTTCTATGTGTTTTGTCCTTTGCCTTGGTTGGGATTTATATAGATCCCATGGTGTAATATGGTCCCACAGGAACAAGCAACATGTTCCCTGTCACAAGCTCATCATTTGTCGCGGCATTGATTCATCGTGGTCCACTCTTCCTTCTTTCGACCATGCATTGTCCTCCTCGCGCGTGGTTCGCAGTGAGGAAACTCACTGGTCAGGTCACACCGTTATCAGCGATTGACAGGACATGTTGACTGATGCGGGTCAAAACGATCTACACCTCGGAAGACGTCCAGTGAGTGATTTGTTGACCCAAAAAGGGACACGCAGGAGGGTTTGGCAGTGGATCCGCAATGTCCTTGTCCAATCAGTGATCAGATTGTTCCAGTCATACGAAGCACTTCTAGACCATTCTAGTGCCATTGTAGGGTGTTCCGAAATACTCCACATTCCACAAATTCCACCTTTGGCTTATGTTTGTTTCAAAGGAACAGTTGTCTTCAAGACTCTGGACTTTCTGGTGGGGGGAGTTTGTTGTCCCATCTTGACATTCTATAAGGTCTTTGGTGCCAAAGGTTTGCTACCATAGGACCTATATAAGCAGTAGTTGGATCAACAGGCCAACATAAGTCAATGAACCTCAGTTGGCTCCCGTCAGTTGGACCAATTCTCACAGTACGTCACAGCACCATACTCTGCCAATAGGAGGAGCAATCCACAGGAGTTCGAAGAAGGAATCCGATGCTTTCCTATATACAGTTACATGCATGATATATATATATATATATCGGTCTATTCAAAAGGATTTGCTTCGACCTCGGCCACGTCCTGAGCTCGCATGTCACAGGCTGGGGTTTCCATGCCTTGGGCATGCCTTGCCGTGGACGAACTTACAAGGCGCCCGTCCGGTGCCGGTGGCGCCTTGGGGCCGGGCGTGTTGTGGGTCGCGCCGGGTGCAGATGTGAGCGGAGGAGCTCGCTCCATCACTTGGTAGTTCTCCAGCTAAACATGGAAAAAACACACACTAAGTGTTGGGAGGACGATGGTAGGAACGGAGAGAGGTGTGAATTTCCTGTGTGTTTTGGTTGGGCCTCTGATTTCGGGTGCTCTGATGTGGCGGTGACCCTGGGTGACGCCCGGTAAGGCTAAGGATCAAATTCCGATACATCCAGTCGCGGTAAGCAGAGGTCATATAAGAATCAACAAACACATACCGTATACCTGGACCATCCAATGGGTGTCCAATGGACTACCCTGCACTACTCTCCGGGATCTCCATTGAACACCCATTGAATGGTCCTGGTATATAGAACATGTGTCAAGGATTGTACACAACACCAGCACCCGCATATACCAGCACCAGTAGAAAAAGCACCCGACTCTACCCTCGTGACCTGTCTGGTGCCCCCCCCCAAAGACACATGTTAGCAACAAAACACCACCTGTTGGAGGAGCAGAAGTTATTGGATGTTGGATGATGTTGGAGGGTTAGGCTATAGCAAAGTTTCCCATCTCCACTCCCTGCGGCCCGGGGGCCCTTGAGGATTCCATGAAGCAGATTCAGCAGGCAGCCAACGCGGGGGGCCCGAAACTGGAGATCCGAACGAGGCAGTCCAGACGATGGTTTAGGGTTTGAACTGATTGCAGTCCGTCCATCCAACCATCCTGGACATTACATTCTCAAACATGCTTTTCATTCACGCTTCAAACCTGATGCAACGTCCCGAAACGGTGCCTGGTTCCCTTCGCCCATGGTGGACGCCCACGCTGAGGAGCAACCCCGAAAGAAATCTTATTTCGCTTCACACTCCTCCACGCTGAGGGTGCCTCCAAACAAATTCCCTCCCACGCATCCCTTTTCGAGTCTACGGTCCCTGCTACGGTCCTTCACAAGAACCAACTGGTCGGTTTCTTCCTCGATCGGGGGGGTTCTCCGTCTGGCGGTTCAAAACCTGGAGCCTTATACGATTTGGCCTGGCTTTTCTCGAGTGAAGGAAGCAGGCTTGGACAGCTTCAAGTTTCTGCGGGTCTTCGGTCGGGCTGCCAGACGCCAGCCTCAATGCGAGATGCGGGAAGCTGTTGGACATGGCTGGCGGAAGTCCATTTTGCCCATCATCTGTCAGGGACGTCTGGAATCTGACGTCCTTTGTTTGATTTTGGAGGAGGATTGGCGACCGTGGTCGACGAGCGGGAACGAAGAAGCCGACCCACGCAACCAGGATGTCCGGTGCTGCCATCAAGTCATTAGAAGCATGGTGAGCCTCTACAATGTAGCGGCCCAGCGAGATGCCGACTGTGGGTTGATATGGTATTCCTGGGAAGGACGGCAGGGGAAAAAGAAAGTTCCCAAGCATGGTCTCATGGCCGTAGGCGTCACCGTGGACAAAGCTCGGCAGATGAAGGAAGCAGTGGACTTGGTTCATGGAGACCTGGGCCATTTTGACGTCTGGATGTTGCAATGGATCCGGAACACCGAGCCGGTCACCTCCGTCTTCGTTCGTCCTCCTTTTGGTGGCTATTATAGTCATCAGTCCGGTTGTGAGGATTCCTTCGCGCAGGGCGAGGATCGGGTTTGTGATTGGACGGAGTTCTTCCAGATGAACGAGACGGATTACGTGGCTCTGGTGAATTTCACGAACACCTCGGAGCAGCACTGGACGCAGCCCCTGCGTGACCAGTGCCAGGTTCCATACATCAGCAGGGTGGCGCGCGAAGAGCCTCAGCTGGGCGAGGGGACGGGGCCTGCCACCACCAAGCGCCAGAAGAGGCAGGAACGCAAAGTGCGCCTGCTCCAAAACTTGCGTTTGGGCGGAGATGCTGCGAGCGGTGCTTCCGAGACCAGGTCTGCGTGGATGGGCATCACCGAGGCCGAAAGAGAAGGGCTGGGAGATGTCATGGCTACGAGGTCTGAGAGGACGAAAAAAAAGCCGGGACCGTGATCTCGAAGCTAGATCGCGCCCGGTTTCACACGGGAAGCTGCACTGCAACGGTCGCGGCCTCGAGCCTTCCGCCTTGGCCGATTTCACCCCAGAAGCTGCACGTGAGCGGCCTTGAGCCCTCCGCCTTGGCCGGTTTCACCCCAAAAGCTTTGCAGGAACGGGAGGCGCGTGGATGGGGGACGGGGCTGGCAACGGGAGGCACATGGGTGGGGCCGGGGCGAGATGGAGGGGAGCGAGACGGGAGGCGCATGGGTGGGGACGCATGGGTGGGGACGGGGCTGGGGAGGGAAGATGGAGGGGAGCGAGACGGGAGGTGCATTGTGCATGGCATGGGAGTGGACGCTTGCGCGGCTGATATGCTAGTTACGAGGACATGGTTGCACCACAAGCATCATTGCAGGCTGCTCCGGGTCAGTGCACAAGTAGAACGAAGCATGGGTGGGGGTAGTGCTGCTCCATGCTTCGCGGAAGGCTGTTGTGTTGGGTGTCCCAAATGTGCACAATGCATGGCCGACACGGCAGGATTGTTGCGTGCCAAAAGCGCAATGCGTGAAATTGGATGGTTGGAACGAAGCATGGAGGGGGCTGATGCTGCTCCATGCTTCCTGGAATGGTTGTCAGAAGCCATGTTGTAATGGGGTTGGAGACTAGCTGCAGAGATTGAAAACAGCCACTTGAGATAGATAGATAGATATATATATATATATAATACATCCAACCTCCAACCCGACTAAAAAGGGAAGCGTCTTATTTTCTTCTTACTGCAACGATATTTCTATATAGGGTCTATTCCAGTGTACAGACAAAAGATCGAAGCCCGCAAAGGTTTGATCGAGAAAAGCAAACGACAAATCCTCTCCTCCTGGGATATCTCCGCCATATCGACGCCCTGATCATGCCAAAGATGCACGCCACCGGAAATCTATGCCAAAAATTCAACAGAAATATCATGGTTGCCACGAAGCCTGGAGATGCTTCGCTTTGGCCTGCTAATGTGTGTTTGTCTATTTTTCCTGGGTTGCTCGCTTCTTATTGCTTTTGGGTCCGCCGGCTCACCTTGTTTTTTGTCGTCTGACATGTGGATACCTGTTTACTCTCTTGCACTCCACCTATGTGGAAGGGCTTTGAGGGGCGAACCGTGGACAGTTCGCGAGTGAGTGTGGGGGTTCGGTTCGTTTTTCCCCAATGCGTAGCGAAGGGTTCCCTTTTTTTGTTGGGGGTCTGGGGGTTGGAGCTGTGTTCGCGTGGCTTGCGTCGTGTCGTCGTCTGTCGTCGTCTCTCGTCGTCTCTCGTCGTTTGTCGTCGTCGTCGCGTCTCAAATTTGCTGCCATTGGGGGAAGCTTTTGCAAGTGACTTTTCATGGATGTGTCACGTGTCAGTTTGCGCCGCTATTCCATTGTGATTTGCATGACACCGACATGTCGCGCAAGAAACGTGATGCATTTCGCTGCACAGGCGCAGCGTTTTGTGAGATCCGCAGATTGCTGCGCAGTTCCATTGGGATTAGCGTTTGGAGAGTCGTGTTTTTGGGGTGTTGGATGTGGCCGTGCCATTGGGATTTGCGTTTCAGGATGTGGCATCGAAGCTCTGTTTTCGTGACAAGTCTCAGCTGAAATGGCGATTTTGATGGATGGGAGTGTGCTCTGAACGGGTCGAAATCATTCCAAACGTGTGGTGTGGTGCAAATTTTGTTGAAGCTCACATGCGATGATATTGTCACTTTTCGTGGCAGGCGCAGGACTTCGTGCGGGCTTTGAAGCGTGGAAGTGCAATTCTCGTGGCAGGCGCAGGGAATCGTGAGGTTGCGAGGTGTGAGGGAGGTGACATTTCGTGGCAGGCGCAGTACTTTGTGCGCGTTAGACGTGTGGATGGGGAAAGATTCGTGGCAGGCGCAGGGAATCGTGAGGTTGTGAGTTGTGGTAGAGGTGAATGTCGCTGTCCCATTGGGATTGGCGTGTGAGCGGAAACTGCTTGGCAGGGCTGCGTGATGTGTGTGCTTCGATGGGTGTTTCCGCTTGACTTTTGGAGGAAGTCTCGTACGAAACGCTCGTTTTGCAGACTTTGACGTGTGAGTTTTTCAGGAAGTCTCGTACGAAACGCTCGTTTTGGAGACTTGACGCGCAACCCTCTGCGGAGATCGTGCGTGTCGAGTGCACCAAATGCAGGCGAGAGTGCGATTTGTCCCATGCGCGCGCAACCCTCTGCGGAGATCGTGCGTGTCGAGTGCGCGAAATGCAGGCGAGAGTGCGATTTGTCCCACGTGCGCGCAACCCTCTGCGGAGATCGTGCGTGTCGAGTGCGCGAAATGCAGGCGAGAGTGCGATTTGTCCCACGCGCGCGCAACCCTCTGCGGAGATCGTGCGTGTTGAGTGCGCGAAATGCAGGCGAGAGTGCGATTTGTCCGGTGGAGCTGGAAGCTGAGAACTGGCGACCTTGTAGTACAACTGTAGTACGTGGAGTATCTGGGGAGCTGGAAGCTGAGAACTGGCGACCTTGTAGTACAACTTTAGTACGCGGAGTATCTGGGGAGCTGGAAGAGAGTCCCACAAGAGTGTCCCGCAACAGTGTCCCACTAGAGTGTCTCAAAAGAGTGTCCCTTAAGAGTGTCCTACAGGAGTATCCCACAAGAGTGTCCTACAAGAGTGTCCCACAAGAGTGTCCCACAAGAGTGTCCTACAAGACTGTCCCACAAGAGTATCCTACAAGAGTGTCCCACAAGAGTGTCCCACTAGAGTGTCCCACAGAGTGTCCCACAAGACTGGCCCACAAGAGTGTCCTACAAGAGTGACCCACAAGACCACAAGAGTGTCCTACAAGAGTGTCCCACAAGAGTGTTCCACAAGAGTGTCCTATAAGAGTCTCCCACAAGAGTGTCCCACAAGAGTGTCCTACAAGAGTGTCCCAGAAGAGTGTCCCACAAGAGTGTCCTACAAGAGTGCCCCACAAGAGTGACCCACAAGAGTTTCCTACAAGAGTGTCCTACAAGAGTGTCCCAGAAGAGTGTCCCACAAGAGTGTCCTACAAGAGTGCCCCACAAGAGTGACCCACAAGAGTGTCCTACAAGAGTGTCCTACAAGAATGTCCCAGAAGAGTGTCCCACAAGAGTGTCTTACAAGAGTGTCCCACAAGAGTGTCGTACAAGACTGTCCCACAACAGTGTCCCACTAGAGCGTCTCACAAGAGTGTCCCTTAAGAGTGTTCTACACGAGTATCCCACAAGAGTGTCCTACAAGAGTGTCCCACAAGAGTGTCCCACAAGAGTGTCCCACAAGAGTGTCCTACAAGAGTGTCCCACAGAGTGTCCCACAAGAGTGTCCCACAGAGTGTCCCACAAGAGTGTCCTACAAGAGTGTCCCACAAGAGTTTCCTACAAGAGTGACCCACAAGAGTGTCCTACAAGAGTGTCCTACAAGAGTGTGCCACAAGAGTGTCCCACAAGAGTGTCCTATAAGAGTGTCCCACAAGAGTGTCCCACAAGAGTGTCCCAAAAGAGTTTCCTACAAGAGTGTCCTACAAGAGTGTCCCACAAGAGTGTCGTGTAAGAGTGTCCCACAAGAGTGTCCTGCAAGTGACCCACACAAGTGTTCTACAAGAGTGTCTCACAAGAGTGTCCTACAAGAGTGTCCCACAAGAGTGT